ATGCATTTAGAGATCTTGTGTTCATTTCATTTCCATCTCTATTTTCAATGTTTTTTTTCTTTCCTTTTTTTGTGTCCAAATCAAGCGTGAAATTTTGACGCAAAAATTTCCATTACTTTCTTGTTTCAGATATTTCTCGGTATCTCTGCTGGTGTGGGGCTCATTGCTGGGCTGCTAACACTGTGCCTTTTCTATGTTGGACTTTTCGTTCTTGGTAAGTGTTTCCTATATCTTCTACACAAGTTAGTCAAGAATCTTATGGCTGTCTCAGCTAACATATTTGAGACATATATCCATTAATATTAGATTGAAAGGTGTACTACTAAACTTGCGTAAGTCTTTGGGTTTGTGGAATAAAGGTCTCATGAATGCAATCAAATAATCACAAGAAGAAAAGGGCTATTTTTGTTGCTTTGTTAATTAATCAAACCACAAAATTTTTTACTAGGCTATCTTCATCTTACTCCCTGTACAGGAACCTGTAAAATTACCATTGAAAACTAAAACCTGACCTTATTCAGTGGTACTTGCCTATGCATACATGCCTTCAATTTCCACCTTGGCAAGGCTTGCACACTATCTGACCCATCCATCTTGTGGCTGATGAAATGATTGTAAACTGTGTCATTTCTGTGTTAATTTTTTGTTACAAATTTTTCAGGAGCAACCATGGGATGGTTTATTGGCATGGCTTTTCTTCCTTTCCTGTACAAACATTCAGAATACTTATCTGAACACAACTGGCTGCCTTATGTCATTCTCTCTGCGTTTGCTCTTGCTGGAGGAATAATTATTCTTTGTATGCAGAAGGTACACTATTTTTATATTGGAAGTATTTTAACTTAACCCCTATAAACTAGATTTTATGTTACCTCTTTTGATAAAATNGAGGAATAATTATTCTTTGTATGCAGAAGGTACACTATTTTTATATTGGAAGTATTTTAACTTAACCCCTATAAACTAGATTTTATGTTACCTCTTTTGATAAAATTTTGATCTTACCAGTCACTTTTTTTTGTTTTTTTTTTTTGTGGTCATTATCATCTGAAACAGGTGTGTTGACTAAGACTGGGGGAAGTGCCATAGCATGCCACATAACACCGATGGACATGAGTCTTTATCTGGTTTTAAATGCCTGGCTTGGACTAGAACTTGTGCTATTTTAGCCTTTTTTATTTCAGTGTCTATTTGGTAAAATAACGTGTTATTTATACTCCTTTCAGATTGTATGTGGCATCAAAAGTGACAGTTTTTTATCAACGGATTTCTCAGTTTAGCTGCTGTAGCTTAAGGCCATGAAGCTTTTCGTCCATCAGCTCATCAGGGAGTTGTGTGATTGTTCACAAAAATTTTGACTGCCAGCAGAGCATGTAAACTTAAAGAAAACTACTTTTCTTGAAGGAGTCAGTGTTTAATTTGAAGTCTGTGAGAGTTCTATCCAAAAGACAGCAGCAAATTAATCATTTTTTGAGACCACTAGGATTTATGTCATCAGGAGGGTAAGCAGCATTGTAAATACCTAAGTGTAGCCCTTGTTTAAATAGCTTAAAACAGAGATTATTTCAAAGATATTACACAACCAACAATCATCCCTCAATGCTGGAAATCACGTTTCTGAGGACCTAAATCCCAAATCTCAAAGCTGGGTGCATGTCCCCAGACCCACCTTAAAGATCTGTCTTTGGCAGACAATTCTCTGAACCCCCTTCACCAAATCCTGGATTCTTCCCAGGGATGGGCTGCCATGTTCTAACTTGGATTCCTTGTTCTGTAATTCAAGGTGATAATTGTGATCTCAACATCATTTCTTGGAGCTTTCTGGAGCATCAATGGGATTGATTACTACTTGGAGAACAGCAAAGCCCTTTACTATTCAGTCAACATTTTGCATGGTAATTGGGAAGATAATTTTAAGACTAGAAAAGAAATAAAGAAGTAAGAGGAAGATGTAATATGAAATCATTAGAAGCTTCCTTTTAAAGTTTTCAAATTTGTACTTATGCCTATACCCCAGCAAAATTTTGACCGAGATCTCGGCGAGAATCTTGG